TACGTAGTCTAGACTTTTTTTATTATTTCAAGGGCTTTCTCTCTTCTCATCGTGTGGGTGTGTCCTTTTATTTTCACAAACGCAATATAATCAAACACAGTATTTTAATCTGAACACACTAAAACACTCCCATCACTGACCATTTGTACCAAAACCAACACCAAATATTGCGCACACGTATCGTTACTTATATTGTGACGTCACGAAGACTTGCATCACTCAGTCGCAAGCGCACGTTGACATCGACCCCGGTTTGCCTCCAAACTTGACATTGATAACAACCGGTATATATGCTTAACTTCCGTTTTTATAATTAGTTCCGGATTTAGATTAATTATTAGACATTTTATTAATGGTTGTAATAGTGTTATGTGTATTAAAAGGTTATTTGAACTGAAACATTATTTTTAATGCGTTTTGTGATTGGTCTGTGGGTTTTGTCATGTAGCCTTTGGTTTAGATTCAATGCAATGTTTTTTTTTAAATGTACTAGATTTATATATTAGAATCACATTGATGAGATTGACCTCAGATTGAAAACGACTGGAATGAGTTTTTTTGAAGGGGGGAAAATCATCGAATAGCTTTTCCCGGCTGGGTGAGGCGGAAGGGAGTGTTAGACTCTTACTGATTAAAAACCACCCCGTTCCTTCTCCTGCACTTCGAGCCGGAGCCCCGGTAACACGTTAAGTTCTCCGCGACACCGAATCGGCATCAGCCCTATATTGGGCCCCATCCGTGGTGGTCTGATGGCTCTTTGGGGCGCGTGAATGAGTAAATTTGAAAAAAAAATTAAGAATTATTGTTTCATGGTATGACCATTCAGATTTACTGTAAAATAAGTATAGTTTCACGTCCTTTAAAATACTAAAAATATTATTTTTTACAAGGCTTTGTAAACAAAGAAGAACTCATTAATAAACATTGTCTTGCACTTTGTTGTATGTATGTACTTAAAATACAAAAAAAAAACATTACCATAAAATGTCATATTTCTAAGAAGAAGCCTTCTAATAAATAAGTACAGTAAATGTAATAAATATAGTATCTATCGACATTTGTTTATGTTACACAACAATGTTGATAGATTTTTTTTAAGGGGGAAAATCATCGAATCACTTCTCCCGCCTGGGTGAGGCAGGAGGGAGTGTCAGACTCTTGCTGACTAAAAACCACTCCGTCCCTTCTCCTGCACGTCGAGCCGGAGCCCCGGTAACCCGTTAGGTTCTCCGCGACGATGTCGATAGATAGACACAACTTTTGGATTGGCCGTTCCTTGAAACCCCTGAAGAAAACTGAAGAAACTCTGAAACGTTTAATTGTTTGAAGGTTCACAAACGGCTATGGTTGATATTATATTCCTAGCTATAACAACATAACATAACATCACGCCTTTTATCCCCGAAGGGGTAGGCAGAGGTGCATAATATGCCACTGTACAATGTAACACCCACTTTTCACTATTTATGTTATGAGTCCCATGTAATAGGGGTGAGGCTATTGCCATATACCGAGCACAATTCCAGACTCCATGCTACTACTGAGAATTGAAAAAAAATTAGCTATAACGACTATCATTATATTCGTATGACAACCGAGATCTATAACTCAAAATGAGATCCAAGACCTTTTTAAATAGCTTTTTTAATTTATAAAACTGCAATCGTTTGACGCCCACTGTACTTTTACAATACTGTATCACAGCACAGACGTCCATTGTCTAAGTTTTCTTAAAGAAAATCTATTTCTAGACAATGTTTGCGTGGGAGGTTGTTTGTGTAAAGTCTACATGAGCGTGAAGCTAGAATACTAAGCGACAATAACTTGACTGACTCTGAAAGATCTTAAAATAAACTTGTTCGTAGATTTTTATAGGAAAAGTTTGTGCTAATATCGTAAATAAGTATTGAGATTAGACGGGACAATTGTTAGATAGTTCTTAGACTGCGATTGGATATCACTATTAACAAACTTTTAATTTTCTGGCTGTCTCTGCACTAAGTTATTCTGAGAACAAGATTAGAACAGAATTCTATAACGTGGCGTTGACTGCCTCGTTGGCCGAGTGGTCGCAAGTGCGACTGCCGGGCAAGGGGTCTCGGGTTCAATTCCCGGGTCGGACAAAATATGACTGGGTTTTTAAAAAATTATCAGTAGTAGCACGGAGTCTGGAATTGTGCCCGGTATATGGCAATAGGCTCATCCCCTATTACATGGGACTCATAACATAAATAGTGAAAAGTTGGTGATAGCTATATTGTACAGTGGCATTAAGTGCCGTAATGTGCACCTCTGCCTACCCCTTTGGGGATAAAAAGCGTAACGTTATTATGTGTTGTGTCTCTAACGTGGCTTAGGACCTTAGTAGAGATGACTCCAATCTCAAAATATCTCGAAAATATTTAGGAAAAATATAATAAACCTACTATACGATACGTATTAGTCGAACATGGTCATTCAAAGTAAGTTCGAACTAAAAGTGAAAATACAAAATTGATACCTCCATTACATACGCGTCGTGTACCAAGAAACAACCGAAAATGTTGGCCTTATCCCAAGTAGGTTAGTAGCAGGTACTGAGTTTTGGCAGATCCTACAGAATATAGATATGTATTGTACAAGGAACGCAACACGTTAAGGACCATACCATATGAATTGTAGACTCGTTGTCAGATTGTACGCTTCTGAATATGAAACTCTGTTAAGCTAATATGTATGTGTCTTCAAAATGGTGATATAATTCAACAGCTAAAATGCTTACACGTTTTATCATTGGTCCCAAGGCCTGGTTACCTAAAATATCACGTCTGCTTCGGTGGTTAAATGCTTATAAATATTGCAGACTAGCTGTGCCCGCAACTTCGCCCGCATGGAAAAATGATTTACAGCTCCTCCCCCGTGGGTGATAGCGTGATAATATGTAGCCTACGTATTGACCTTATTAGTACTATTCGTGCAAAATTTGAAGTAGACCCATACAATACTTTTTGAGTTTAGCCCTGACATACATACAGAGAAACAGACAAAAATTCTATAACCCATATTTAATTTTTTGGCTTCGATATCGATTGTAGATCACAGCCCCAAGAAGTATTAAAAAAAAAATTCAATGTACAGTTTCCACTTCTTACGATTTAATTATATCTATATAGATCAGGGATTCTCACGATGATTTCCAGGCTTTGGATTGTATCAATAATACGCTAA